GGGAGGGGGTCGTACTTTCAGTATTCGATCTGGAGAGGAGGGGTCGTATGTGCCTTTGTGCCTTTGAGAAATTTGTCGCGTTAGTTTTCCGGTTGCTTGACTTTTGTGTGGTTTTTCCTGTTTCATGTGCACTATGTACCCTCATTTACCGAGACCCTCATTTAGGTGGGAGCGTCGTACTGACACTCTCTCTCGGAGGGAGGGGGGGTCGTACCTACACACCACCTCACACATCACGATGCTGTACCCTGGTTCCAAATGAAGTCTTCTAGGGTGATGGCACATCCTGTCGTTCCGGAAAATTTTGGAATGAAAATTTGGAATTTTTGCAAAATACGTTTTTTCTCTTTCCAGCGACCAAATATTTATAATCCTTTCGGTAGGGATGCGCAACTCTTATATCTTATAAGTCTAAATCGAGAAGTAAGTAAGATTTGGTAGGATGGTGGGTAGATTACGAGTGGGGACCGGAGGACAAAGCTTGGGGGGGGGGAGCCGTGGGTGCAGTAGCTGTGACAGCACTGTTCTATCCTATCGTGATGCTGTATCCTATCTGCCTTACACGCATGGTCGGTCGTTCACTGAAAAGCGAAAAAAATCCTCGTTTCACGGGTTTTTGCACTATCGGTTCCGCTTCTTTACAGCATTACCTCGTCCTTCTTTGTTCTCTCGCTATTTTACCCCTCTACTTTCGTTAATGACCAGCGAAAAAAGTGACGCTCCTAAAGCGTTTCGTTAACGCGGCTCTATTTTTTACACAAATAATCGAAAAACCTAACACGTGACGAAAAAAATTCAGCCAGTCACCTGCCCTTCTCTTCAACTTGTCCACAGGACACTCATGTGATATGAACAGATAAGAGGGAGAGACTGTAGAGCTGAAGGACAAATATTCGCGAACTCGTTCTTAAAAGGTGCCATGGTCAGCGCGTTCCGTACGTTGGGGATTCCCAGCAAGGGGCTCGTAATTGGTCGCTGGAGGAGGGGCCATATTAGCCATTGAGAACTGAAAGCTTGGCGTCAGCCATCACAACGGGTTGGAAAGGATCATTCGGAGTAGAACTAGAGAGAAGGCGGCTGGACGATCATTTCCCCGTCCAACTAAGGGTTATTAGGCCTTTCATGGAAGCATGCAGAACAATAGAATTCCTGGAGTACGTCACATATTGATTTCCCACTATGGATCTGATTCTCCAATGGAAAATCCATAAATCTTTCCAATGCCTATCTCACAGCGTCACAGTGGCTGCGGTGTAACCCATACCGGCAGACAGGTTGCTTCAACAAACTGTCGCCGATGGCGGTGAAGTCAGCGCCGAAACTTTCACTGAGTAGCTAGCGAGGGGAACTAAAACATGTTTGAGCGGCCGTGAGGCTTTTTTAGTTCAGGATCCCCTTTGTGGATTCTGTGCCTATTGATTGATTTCAGATGCAAATCTTGGTCACACGAAAAGATGGCGGAAATCTACTGACTGCGGGCGATCTCGATGAGATCTATGAAGTGCAGAAGGTTAGCTAAGAAGCATTTGAAAATGATTTTTGGCATATTGCTGTTTCAAAGTGGGGCGTAATTCGGCTTGGTAGGGGCATTTGGCTGGTTCCCATCAATCACTGCTTACCTCGAGCGGGGAGACCTGTAAATTCCTGTAAAGCTGTGAAGTAGCAGAAGCTTCATATGCACTTGACGGGAGTCTACAGGTCTTATCAAGGTGAAGCAAGTAATTCGACTGGAGCTAGCAAACGAAACTAGCGAAAATGTAAAATGTATCCCCTCCAAGCCGAACAGCGTTCAAAATGGAATTTTTCAAATTTTACCATGAATATTTAGTTTATCTCTGAGAACGTCACAGCCTCAGATGGCATAAAAGAGTTCCACTATAGTGACGTCTGTGGCGTTTATTGCGATGACAGCAACGGCGCTGTTATTGCGGTCTTGCAGGTGAGTGTCCCATTAATTGCGCATGCAGTTGGGAGACGGTCAGGACAATCGTAGTTTTTCGCGCCGTCGCGCGCGGCGTATCATGCGGCGTCGCCGATAAATTGTCGATGACCGTCAATACCTCAATAGGAGCAGCGAAACTCCTACGATGTTAAGCGGAGGCATGAAGACTTGACGGTCGATAACGAATTTTTTCATCCATTCGAAAGTACGCAAACGGCTATACAGTACTACTCGTCCGTCGCTTGCGACGCCGCTCGGCACACCCACCATCGCGACATATTACGATTGTCCTGTCGCGTACCCCATGGAGTTGGATACGCTGAGTCCTGCAGGTCTTACTGAGAACATGTTTTCAGACTGCTATCGCCGCCTCCGATGGATTGTCCTCAACGAGGCTTGACCTACCCGAACGCTGAAGCTTTTCAGGTCAGTGTTAGCTCAGTAATACTCTGAAGGGGGGGGGGTAGCGAAACTAGATACAAAGTGCTTGCCAACCAGGTCAAGCCGTGCACCAAGGACTTGGCCAAACATAGAGTTAATAGGATTCGACTCCACCACTCAAACCTGTAAGGGGCTTAGGGAACTCATTTCTGGGGGTGGTAACCCTGAAAAATGGTTTCTAATATTGAGAAATGTTTGATATCTTCTGCGCTATTTGAGAACCCTCTGCCCTCTCTCTGGATTGCTTGGAACCTCAGTCGGCGTGAATTAAATCCCAGCAGGTTTCAAAGTGTTTTTGTCGTGTAATCTCCAATAATTACTGCTAACAAATCGTTTTGTCCCCGATGAATGCCGTAGAAAAAAAGCCAGCTGAACCGGCTCAACTGCATCATCCAGCAGTGCTTTTGCATAAACCCCATCCATAATCTCTGGCAAAATTTCATGCTAGTCGAGTCACTGGTTTTATCTAGTTCTATAGACGACTATGAAGGGACGATCCCACGAGCTATCCAAGGCGTATTGAAGAATTTTGAGAGGAGAAAGCTCTATACTATCGTTTTCAGAAACGAGTTTTCCTTGGTTTCTCGCTTGGAAATCTTACCTTCCGCAAGGAACAACCTGACGAGGTCGAAGAGGCACGGCTTCTCCTACTCCACTACATGGTAAGATTTGTCACTCGACCCATTTTCATAGGCTTCCAGGTCATGGGTATAGCGTAAGCGTTCGAGAAAATACAAAGAATCTGTCTTTTTCAAAAATCCTTAAGAGTGAGAAGTGGAACATTTTTTGCTACCTGTTAGAAAATCTTTTCCATGAGCTTTATTGAATTTTT